ATTGCAGAACAAATGAGGTCTTAAAAGAGAAGAATGTATGCTGAAAAGTCTTGATCCACCCTTTAAAGTGGAAATAAAACCTCTTCATGTCGAGCAGAGGTGAAGCAGTAACCCCATTAGATTATAGCCCCAGTTTCCTACACCCATCAGTACAACCTGCAGGTGCATTACCAGGAATTAAGAGACCACCTTCAAACTGAATTCCAATCCCAGAAGCCTTGGTTTGAGTAGACAAAATGCAACTGCAGATGCAACAGCTAAAAAGAGTGTTTCTCCTGTACTACAGGCTTGAGGATCTTCCTCAGAAAGAACATTGGGTGGAAGAACGCTCAGGTATGATTTTGGTGAGGCCCCTGCTCAGTTCTGGAGGTGAAGCTACCAGGAGAACATAGACTGAGTAAATGTGTTCCCACTCTACATTGGTTTATAGCCTAGTGCTTACTCAATATGGCCCGAGAAGTAGGACTAACACAAAAGGACAGAAGCTACAAAGAACAGATTTGAATTCAATATAAACAAGAACTAAGAGCAGCATAAAGGTGGGGTTGGTACCCCCTCCTCATGGCCATGAGTTCTCTGTCAGTGGATGTCCAATCACAGGTGACTGAGGAACCTCAGGGCTCCTGAGGCCCAAAAAGCTCCATGGGGTGTAAACCCCTGGCATTGCTCCTCCATTGGAAGTACATCTGGAGGAAGCACCTTAGCAAGAATCACAATCAGAAAGCATATCATATTGTCCAAAGGAGAAGAAAACAAAAACAAATACATCCCAAGGAAACAAACTCGGGGAAAAGAATCCTTATTCAAAGACAAAGGAAAAGAAGCAAAAGTCAAGATGTAAAGTAAAGGAGGAGAAGCGAAGCTTTGAGGAGGCTCCTGAGGTAACCAGCAGACTGAGACAGCCGTCTTGCTTAGGGTTGCTAGGACCAAAGTTGGGCCATGCCTGGGTGAGTTCTTGCTGGGGTATCATGGAGGTATTCAAGCCTTAGGTGAATAGTTGGACTTCATCAGTTTTCAGCTAGAATTGCTAAGCCCCCAAATTACAAGTCACATTTTATGAGTATGTACCCTTATACTTTTTTCTGGAGAATTGACTACTTTTAACAGATTCTAAACAGTTATGCTGGTTTAGATAAACTTCAAAGCACCTGTTTATTCTATCAGCATGTTTAATATCACATACAGTGAGGCCTTGACTTACAAGTTTAATTTGTTCCGAGACCGAGCTCAAAAGGAGCTCGTTAACTCAAATTACTCTGTCAACTCAAAGCAAAAAATCGGCGGAGAGACAGTTGGTATCTCAAAAAACTCGTTAGTCGGGACACTCGTAAGTCAAGGCCTCACTGAATATGGATATTTGGAAATCTTTCTTACTTGGTATTAGATAATCAGAACTTTAAAGTTGTATCTAGTATTAGCTCTTGCTCTCTGGGGGACTGATAGTAAAATAAATTGATAAATGTTCCTCCTACTAAATGATTACACCGTGGCTGTATTCAGGCATTGGAGTGTTATGAAGCCCAAGGAATGAAAACAACTTAACACCAAGTATTAAGTCCAATCCCAGGGAGGGTTCACATGGCGTGTATACTGAGCATTTGCCCTTTTCCTTCTCAAACTGCTTTCCACTTTTGACAACTGCCTCAATTTTTATTTGGGATCAGCTCCCTCTCACTCTTGAATAACGTGATCTGGGTTGGCTCTTTCTTCTGTTGTGCGGGTGAAGCTCCTTCAGTCAGAGTCATGTTTTCCCTGGCCACATGGCTGGGGTAGGGTTGGCAGGACACCTAATCCATTTGAGTCCTGGTGACTCTCAGGGATAATCCTGGGAATACTGGGACAAAGACTCTTGCTTTTTGCACCCTGGATTTAAATCTCTGAGTGGCTGACAGGCACCTCCTTAACCATGTGAGGTCCCAAAATCAAGCCAACACTGGAGAAGCAGATCCAAGAAATGGATAACAGGAACTCAGTTCTTGGTAATGTGATTTAAGCATAAATCAAGGCACACTTGAGGCTAAATTACATCTCATTCATGTGTGCCAATAGACCCCCTCTTTTAAACAACACAAGACAGTTTGCTTTGGGTTTTCTGTCACTTGCAACCAAATGACTTCTGATTGCAAGTGAAAATGCAAAACTACGGTTTGACAGTTACCATTTAGAGTCCCCATAAAATAAAACTCTATCAATTCAAATGGCTTTTTCTAAGCACACCTAATGGTGAAAGAGTATTTTTACCTGCTTTCTCCTCACTGGTGTCTTTGCTTCCTCTCCACTCTTCTAAAGTATCTCCAAGATAACACAAATTCCCTCGAGGATCGTATTTCCATTTAAAACATGCTCTGAAATGCAACCAGCTCTTAAAATCATTTCACAGAAACCTTAACAAGACAAAGCAGCAAAGGGAATGCAAAATGTAATATAGCCATGGTGTTTGAACATAATGGGGAACATGATTTTATAGCATAATGAGGAAACAGAACTCCTTCCAGTTCCATTTATCCCAAGAAGCTAAAATCAGTGTGAAAGTTAATGTCACCTTTTTTATGAAAATAAATTAATATTTTCATGGGGGAAAATGGGCTTTATAACCTAAAACCTAATCCTTTGTTTATAATTTGTGAAATTATAATTCTAATAGCAATTAGCAGGTAACCAAACCTTGACACCATAAGACTTGAAAGTCATGTTTTAGCAGGGGCAGAAACAAAGTCAGATCGATGGACAACTCTTTGCCTGGTTTGTTCAGTGAGTCCATGGGTACTTGGTAAGCCACTATTTAGCACAGTCCCTTCTTTAATTATTGAAACCACATACAATGTCATGGTGGTAAGCCAGACACACGTAATCAGACCTAATTTGAAATTAGACAAGTAATCAATCAATAAATGAAACTACTTGCTTAATAGAAAAATGATTTTTGTAAACAATTGAAATAGCAGCAAAAGGAGCTCAGGATTGATAAGGTACAGAATTCTGCACATTGTGAAACTGGAAGTAGAAGAGAGGTTATTTGATAAAGTAGCTGTAAATACCAAAAGCAGTTTGAACAAGCCTTCTAAAATGTCTTCAGCCTGAACATAATAGTTCACAAGAAAGTAAATGCCATGTAAGTAAACTTCTAGATATCTAAGAATTTGCCTCAGTTGGAATATTTTCCCAAACTAACTTATGTACTGTCATTCTAGAAGTAAATAAAAATATATCTGTTAAATGGTTGGGGGTGGGAGCTTCTAAAGTTTATTTAGAGACACTTATTCAGATGAAATAAAGAGTTAAGTCATCCAAGTAAATTAAACTCAAAACTTACACAGTTTTCTAAACTCCTTCACCTCAAAAGGTTTTCTTTTATATTTCACTTAATTGCAGAGCTTTTATCTCATAAAATTATTTCACCATCCCTTTAAAAAGACTAGCTCAGAGAAATATTGGTTAGATCCAATGGCTCAAAACCCAAAGATTTGATAAATCATAGTATTAGATTTTGCAACATCCTTGCTTCTCTCCATTTTCTATGAATTCTGAAGCATTCACATTAAATTCAAACTAACTTAATTTAAAAACTTCTTTAAGACAGCGTTTAGGATAATTGGATAGCCATATCTTGTGATCAGAAGATCAATATCGCAAAGGCTGCTCATAGCAACCCTAACACGCTTCCATAGAGATGCATGGCAGGTCTCAGTTTTGGGGGCAAGTTCTGCCTAACTGAAAGGCAAAATCTTTAGAACTGACTAATGTCAAAATATGATGGCTAAAAGTAATCATTTAAAGTCGTTAAAAAATTCATGTGTTTATACTAAGTACAAAAGCTTGTGAAATATTAGATAAAAACTTAAGCAGCTCTTTATATGGCTCACAAGTTTGCAGTCCATAAGAGAATATAAAACTAACCACTTGAGATTTAATGTGACAATGGAAATGGGAGATTGGGAAAAGGCAATGCAAAAGCATTTCCAAAATACTATAAGCATTTAAAGCATAAAAATATGCTAATATACAAAAATAATATTTTATAAATAAGCTCTCAAACCTACAATAAAATGGAAAAACAATGAAGACTAAATTTAGAACCTAAAACACAGTTCAAATAAAATTATTTCATTTTTAAATGCATGCATTCCTTAAGTAGTTTGTTCCATGAAATAACACTCATAAAAGAAACTATCTTTTCTGGAAAACACTAATAACTAATTAAAGCTACCAATTCACACAGCTGGAGCATGAATTATTAATGAACTATGGGTTGGTAATAAGAAAGCATAAGAGACAGCTTAGCACTGTAAAATACCACAGAAATAGGAGAATCAGGAAAGGAAAACCAGCTCTCTGGAGGAAGAGAAATAAAGCAATCTCTACAATTGAATTCAAATATTCATATTTGAAAACTACAGATTCCTGGTGGAAGTAAGAACAAATAATATATAAATTCTATTAATAAACATTATTAATGAAGCTAACTGCTAGACAGAGTAATAATTATTTTATACATAGCACAGTGGATACAAATTTTTCTTTAAATTGTTATGCCCACCGACTCATTAAAAATGGTGCATGAAGGTCTATTTTTTTAAAGCATCATAGAAGGATAAGCATCAAGTGAACCAAAATTATTCTAGCTCTGAGTTACAGTTGTTTAACCCCCAAGCCTCCATCTGGAACATTTTTTTAGAAACCAGCACCCCCAAAAAGAAATTGACCATTAGCAGCACAGAAAGGGGTATATAAACACCAAGCAGAGCCACAGATGTAGTCAAACAGTCCAATCTGGGACCACCAGGCAAAAAAGAACGACTGTCTTTCATCACTGCCCTACCTTCAAGAAAATTCTCATTTGTATGGATTTATCAACAGTTCCCATTCATCAACTCACCAGCGCAAAAGAAGCCAAATTTATCATCCAGTTTCTGACATCTAGTCTGTTTCCAAGTGTGCAACCAGAGTGTGCCTCGGTAGCTCTCTTAATTGAGAGATTTTAAATGAGAAAATGGGGACAGGTGACTATAGTTAGAACCTTCAAGCAGGTAACTCATGAAAGTACTAGCAGGAAAGAGCCACAGTTTAATACTATTGCATTTCCGTGCTGAAATTCAGAAAGTGAGTCTTCTTGAAGAATCTTGCTTGAGAGCCTTAGCTCAGTTAATTGTTACCCAGTGTAGCCCTATCTTTACCCCACTTATTCTGTGAGTGTTAAAACAAGGGATGTGACTTTTCCCCTCATTTGTGTGTTTCTTGACTTATCTAATTATTGTAGATCTTCAAGTTCCGTAATCTGTGGGACTGAAAAACTCAGGTATATTTGAAATAATAATTATCTGCCCATATGGAAATAACATTTTACTTAATTGTAAATCAGTTAACATTTAATTAGTGCTTAGTACGTGTTTATACACTGAAAATTCTAATCACAGAGAAGTCCAAAACTTAATTTTAGCCAAAGTTGCAACCTAATCACCACTAATTTTTTTCCCAGACCTGTTGATGTTGGGGGTTCTTCTCACGTTCCCTTGCCTCTTTCACTTCTGGTTCAGGGTCTCGTGAGCTGTGGCAGAACTGAAAGTCAGACAAAAGAAAGGAAGCAAAGCAACAAGGTTCTACAGATCACCACCCATCACCTCTTTCTCTGGAAAAATCTTGTCTTGAACTTTATCCACTGCTGATAAAAATTGTATTAGAGAAGACCAGCATAGCCTGAGGCAAAATTCCCATAGATTAATTTTTAAAGCCAACACACTCCTTTCAGCATCTCTTTATCCACAGTAGTGGCTGGTTCTATCTTTGCATAGCACAATGTCTGGCCCAGAAAGAGGTGTTCAATAAATATTTGTAGTATCAACTATTCATTAATTAGTTGGTTGACTATATTCTGGAATTCCTTGGCCGCCATCAGCCACATTCTATACCTCCAATGGAACATGGCCTCTATCCTTGAGCTCTTTGTCACAACTAGTCATCCTGAGAAAGTCATCTCAGTTTCAATAAAATTCTTCACAAAAGAAAATATACATTCAAAATGGAATATTCCAGGATAGATAACTCAATCAACCACTTTTTACCTGAGAGCATCCATAAATACAATGAATCTCCAGGGTTAAATTTTCAGATATCAAAGCTGAAGCCAGGGAGAATCTCTTATGTCACCCATCTGCCTCTAATCAATGTGGACCAAGCGCTAAGACTTATGCTAGAGAAAAAGAGGAGGGAGAATTTATTCTTCATTTCCAAGTTTTCTTTTTACTTCTGTATATTTTGTTATGCTCCTCTTTACTACTAAGTGAATATGAAATAGATTATGTCAAAATTATTTAAAAATATATCACAAGGCCAACTCAAGAACATGAAAATAGACCTTTTATTAATTACTAGCATGTTATTTACATTGAAGCATACATAATAGTACACTGCTTGGCAGCCCAGACTCTGGGGATCTTGGACATGTTGCTTCACCACTCTGTGGTTCTGTTTTCTCATCTTTTAGGAGACAATAAAACTCCTTCTTCATATAGTTGTCATGAGAAAGAATAGTGCCTGACATAAAATGAACACTCAGCAAGGAACAACTTCTATAATTTAAATTCAAGGGAACTGGATAGTAATTATCAGGCTAATGACATTTTGGTTTTTACAACATACAAACTTGGAATGAAAACAAGCACTAGACTTTCTAACAAATGAGCAGAAACTTGATAGGTAAGGCCTCAAATTAAAACAATAACAGAGGAATTCACATTATAGCTGTGCTCAAACATTTTCAGTTAGCATTATGAGTTATTGGAAGTATAAATTCAGGTATCAATCAACAAATGGAAATTTTGAGAGGCAATGGCCCTCCCAGCAATCTTAAAATATATTACAGAGTAAGTCAACCTCTTTCTGCATGAATAATAATTAGCTAGGAAATATATTAAAATGCTTCCCTATCAGAGATTATAGCTTCTGCCTCACATATGTCCCCACCCCGCTTCCAGCCTCCTCACTAAGGGAAACCCAGACTCCAAAGGGCTAAGCCCTGACACAAGTTCCCAAGGGCTTCCAAGACTTTCCCCCAAGGCTGTGACCAGCATTCATACCAGCACATACCATTTGTTAGAGATTGAATTGGATCCCCAAGAGATGTGTTGAAGCCCTGACCTTTAGTACCTCAGAATATGACCTTATTTGGAAGTAGTGTCTTTATAGAGGTAATCATGTTACAATGAAATCATTATGCCAGGTACTAAATTAATATGACTGGTGTCCTTATACAAGAGGGAAATTTGGACCCAGAGGCAGATACACAAGAAGAGAAGGTATGGGAAGACTGAAGGCAGAGATTAAGGTGATACATCTAGAAGCCAAGGAATCCAAAGGTTGCCAGTAAACCACCAGAGGCTCAGAGAGAGGCAGGGACCAGATTCCATCACAGCCCTCAGAGGGAACCCACCATGCTCACACCTTGACCTCAGACTTCCAGCCTGCAAAACTGGGGGACAATAAAGTCATGTTCCATCAGCCACCCAGTTTGGGGTATTTCGTTACAACTGTCCTAGCGGAATAATACAGCACTTCTGACTGGACCTTTCCCTGAGGTAGCATCTACCTCCTGGCCTTCTCATCCAAAAGAAGCACCGTTCCCTCAAATCTTGGGATGATAAAAGTGAGATTGTTCTGCAGCCTTCTGAGTACATTCTGAAAACCCAACAAGGAGTCCAGAGCCTTTAGGACTTCAGGAGATATAAGAATCAAAGATTTTTTTAAATATATTTCTTTATTGATTTCAGAGAGGAAGGGAGAAGGAGAGAGAGATAGAGACATCAATGATGAGAGAGAATCATTGATCGGCTGCCTCCTGCACACCCCCTACTGGGGATGGAGCCTGCAACACAGGCATATGCCCTTGGCCGGAATCGAACTCGGGACCCCTCAGTCTGTAGGCTGACGCTCTAACCACTGAGCCAAACCAGCTAGGGCTTAAAGATTTTTTTGAAAGAAGAAGCTAGATAGCATGGCCTCTCAAAGCCTGGGATTAGTTAGATTTTCATGGTTCTGAACTGAAGCCAGGTTTTATTAACAAGGATTACTTGCAGTCTCACCTGCTCTTTAACCTGGTTAACAGCATGTGTGACACCTGAATGACATAAGCAAGTCCTCTGTGAAACCAAGAAAACTGTATGCAGTTAAAATAAAGATTCCTGTGGGATTGTTCTACCAAGTATGCCTTGAGGAAAATAATAAGAAGGCCTCCTTCAAAAACTCAAGTAGCATTCACAGTCTTCAATCCTCATGATGTAATTAAGAATATTTGTAGTAGAGAACTCAGGATATTATGAAAGGATCTGATACATCCATACTTGAACTTTTCCACTTTTTATAGGCATTTATAGGCAATGAGGCTCAGAGGACCATCGTTAATCAGAAGGGCTGAAACTAGACCATGACTCAATTTTCCACCCACCCACTCAACCCATTATTAGTACCTATTACGTACTGAGGACACAGAGGTGAGAGTGGTGAGGAGTGGGAATGTAAACATCTGAAGAAGTAAAGGACAGTGAGCATGGAGAGAACACTTGGAATAGCAGTAGGTGAGAGTAAAAGGCACACACAGGAGTTGCCCTTGGGGCCAGACCTTTGAAAATAAGTCAGTGTTCACTAAGGCAACATGGAGGCCAGGCAGGCAGAGGAAGAAAGGCCTTTCCAATCAGAACAGTAGGAGAAAAACCACAAATCAGGGAGTGGGAGGTTCCAGGGCAAAGTGCCTGGAAGAGGGCAGACTGCGCCTTGGATGGCAGCAGTCTGGGGCTTTGTTTCATAGGCCACAGACAGACACTGAAGGGTTTACGAAGGACATAATCGGTTGTGTGCATCAGAAAGCTTGCTTAGTGGCCATGTTCAAAATAAACTAGAACTGGAGATAGGCTGGGCACAGGGAGACTTATTAAAAGGTTATTTCAGGAGTTCATGAGAAATAAGAGGTAGAAAACAATGAATCATTTCAGAAGGGAACTGACAAATCCTAGTGGCCAATTGAACAGAAGGAAGAAAAGCAGGCCAAAGATGGCCCTGAAGCTCTAAGATCATAAAAAAATAAGGACAGAGGAGGTGATGTTATTAACTGGGAAAAGAAACCCAGGGGACTAGGTGACCCTTGGGGAACTTCCAGATTGTCTCATAGCTTCTTATGGACACTAACAGGATCATAAAGTTGTATGGAATGGGCATAAAACTTTATGATAAAAACACTATCCATTAATTTAAGGTAAAGACAAGAAACCTTTTCTTCACATTTTCAGCAGCAACAATACACACATTTCAAATACATCCCTGGGAAGTATCCATATCTAACCTAGTTATTGTAACTTTGGAAGACAACTCTCAAATGGGAGAAACACCAAACGTTTCTTCTTGTAAGTTACATTAGTGACACTGTCAACAAACTAAAGGCAAATAATTGATTTTAATGAATCAGGATTTATATTTTAACATAAATAAGTATAATTTAACTTCAAATTAGATTTATGCCTCAATGGATATAGGTATACATTCAATCAATGGGCACTCACAAGAGAAACTTCAAAGATAAAGGTTTATTCCCATCCTCAGGAGCCTCCACTCTTATTTATATGATTTAAAAAATATACAGGACATGCATGGGTTTATGTCCGGTAGCACTTTAAACGTGTATCAAGGGCTCTGTAAGACCAGTCATGAATATAGACTTTGAAATTCATCACAAAGGTAGCCTCAAGTCTTCTCATTTTATACACTATCCTCCGAGCATATTTTCTATACAATCTGATGGTTCTAAATATAGTACTCTTTCCTGGGCTCCAACTTTCTTTAGTTGGGTACCATGCCCCTTAGCTCAAACTCAACACAACCAAGACTGAAATCAAATCTTCTGTCATTCTAAACCTGCTGGTACCTGGCTCCTTATTGACTACCTTGGCTAATGGAATTGTCATCTACCTACACTGTCTAAGTCTGAAGCTTAATAGTCATCAAGGAATACTCATCCTAAATACCTCAATCAGTCCCCACATCCATTTTCTAGCTAAGTCTGCCTTCTCCCCTTTCAAACAATGTCAATGTCATGTTTCAGTATCCCATAGTTCTTGCTTGGACAATTTCAATATCCTTCTAATTTTTCACTCTGCCTCAAATATCTACATTTTCCACAAAGTGATCTTTCTGAAGTATAAATCTCTAAAGCGCCACCATAATCTGGGCTAAATATGTGTCGATAGCTTTCCTTGCCTTCAGGATGAACCTAAACACCTTATGTGGTCAGCAAAATAATGGTTCTCCAAAGATGCCCATGTCTTAATCCCCAGAACTAGTGATTCAGCCACAAGCCAAGGAATGCAGGCAGCCTCTCCAAGCTTAACGGGGCCAGGAATGGATTCTCCCCCAGAGCCTCCGAAAGGAACACAGTTCTGCCAAAACCTTAATTTTGGCCCTATAAGATAATTTTGGACATCTGACCTTCAGAAATATAAAATAATAAATATGTGTTGTTTTAAGCCACTGAGTCTGTGGTAATTTGTTACAAAGCAGTAGGAAATTAATACTCCATTATATGGCATACAGGGCTACTCACAAACTGGGCCCCACCTGCCACTGGTACCATGCCTCTCTACTCAAACTCAACACAGCCCAAAGTGAAGTCATATCTTTTGTCACCCCAAATCTGCTGGTACCTCCTTCAGTATTTTGTCTTGATTGATGGAATCACTATGAACATGCCTTCCAAGGTCCCTACTCTTCAGTCAAACCAAATATTTATTTTTTCATATTTCTATACCTGTGCCTATGTAGGTCACTCTACCTTCTCTACTCATCTTTCATGAGTTCACTAAAACAGCACCTGCTTTGAAAAACTTTCCTGGTTGTTGAGATGGAGTCACATGTCCCCAAGCTCTGTGTCCTTCCAGTATCCTATACATAACATAGCTGTGTGTTTATTCCAATCTACCCCACGGGGTGCGTTGTCTGCACCTTCCACTAGACCAGCGGTTCTCAACCTGTGGGTCGCGACCCCTTTGGGGGTCAAATGACCCTTTCACAGGGGTCGCCTAAGACCATCCTGCATATCAGATATTTACATTACAATTCATAACAGTAGCAACATTACAGTTATGAAGTAGCAACGAAAATAATTTTATGGTTGGGGTCACAACATGAGGAGCTGTATTTAAAGGGTCAGAAGGTTGAGAACCACTGCATTAGACCATCAGCTACTTGAAAACAGATACCCCATGTTAATTCATCTCTACATCCCCAGTACCTAACACAGTGCCTAACTCATAAAGGCAAATTGAATACACTTGATGGCAATAATAAAAATAGAACAATAGACCAAAAAAAAAAAAAGCAAGGTTAAAAGGAGGCCATGGGAAGTGTGTCTCAGTGGTTAGAGCATTGGGTATCAAAGGGTTGTGGGTTCAAGTCATGTACCTGGGTTGCAGGTTCCATCCTTGGCACTGGTCAGGATAAACGCAGGAGGCAACTAATTGATGTGTCTCTCTCACATTTCTCTCTCTTCCCCTCCCTCCTCTAAAAATCAATGGAAAAAATATCCTTGGGTGAGGATTAACAAAAAAGGGGGGGAGGGAATCTAGGATGATGAGAAAATCTTTATTGATAAATGGCAAAGGAGATATTGGAGATAGAGGGATTAGATGTGTAAATGCAAAAAGGGAGATAAACTTATTTTACCAGCCTGAAAGTAGTCCAAATAAGTGAGATAATTGACAAAAGTAGAGGAACTATACTTGAAAAGGAAGTTTTTTTCTCTAAGTAAGAAAAAAAAAGATTAATGCACAGACATTAATTGATTAAAAGATTAATATACACGTGCACAAAGTCAAAGTGTATCCTTTCACAAGATTAGGGACTTAAGTTTTATTTTAAGACATATTTATGTAGTTCCCTTATATTTCTCCAAAATCTCTCAGTATAATTTTAACAATAGATCAGATAGCTGGTAGCTCTTGGGAATTTTTTTAGGGCATCAGATCCTTTTACAAGTCAGGAAAGCACCTGAGTGTTTCCAGCTGCTTTATTTCAAAAAAGAAAAATACCAGTTTGTTTCCAACCAATTCAAGTTCTGCTAACCCATAAAAAATCTCTTTTAGGCCAACTCAAACCCAGAGTTCCCGTACCTTGATCTCTAGGCCATAGGACCCCAGCTATATTCCCTTAAATGTGTTTTTCACAAGCAAAACACACAAAAGTTTACCAAACTATCCCATCCCTACGGAAGTCAATGGTGATGAGATAACAACCAAAACACCTACAATTAAAGGAATATTGAGAAACCTTTACACGGTCATCTGCCTCAAAGAACAACGATGAAAGGGTCATCACTGACACTGCACTCACCAACCCACTTTTGGAGAAAAAAAAAAAAAGCCTCCGATGAGAATAGATTTTAATAACAACCTTACCAAAGGATGTGCTCCAGTGGGCAGCTCGCTCCCCAGTGGAAACAGCTTGAGAAGTAGCCCTCCCCGATTCCACAGTTCAGAGAGTGGCTCTCCCGCCCTGCAGCCCATCAGAGCAGCACTGCCTTTAGCTGAAACTGCTGCTCTTCAGCAGCTGTCAGTTTGTTTGTTTAGTTTTTACCCCCAGTCGCTTTCTCCAATAATACTCACCAAAGTTTGTTTTAACCAATGGGTCAGGCTAGTTAAAAACAACAACAAACCTCAGGCTTCAGGTGATCAGATCTTCCTTTTCCCATTCATCATGGCTCCCGGAAAGCCATCTTGTCCCATTAAGCTTAAATGTGAAATGTGTCACCATCTCACTTTTTTACCTAGTTTCCAGTGCCCTATAACTGGCTGCCACCACACTTGACATGCCCATCTACAAGGCTCATTCCATTTCAGGCAAGTTGGATGCCATTTCTATGATTTTCTTTAAGAGATTATCTCACTTAATTCCATAAACAAACAAACAAAAAAGACCAATCACATCCCATTCATTATCTTACTCACTTATTCAATTAATTTATTTTAAGCTCCTTCTGCATACAAGCAGTGGGCCTCTCCAGAAAGAAAGCTTCCATAGACTGAATGTTTTCTGTCCCCCTAAAATTTATATGTTGAAATCTAATCTCCAATGTGATGGTATTTGAAGGTGGGGCCCTTAGGGAGAGATTAGGAAGTGATGGAATTAGTGCCCTTATAAAAAGAGACCCCAGCAAGCTCCCTCCCTCCTTCTACCATGTGAGGACACAGTGAAAAGATGAATTTGAAGCAGGAAGCAGGTTGTCACCAGGCATGAACTCTGCTGACACACTCATCTTGGACTTCCCAGTCTCCAGAACTGTGAGCAATAAACTGTGGTTGTTATAAGCCACCCAGTCTACAGCATCTTTGTCATCAGTCTGTAGTATTTTTGTTGTAGCAGCTAAGCGAAGATAAAAGCCAGTGGTATAAGGAACTTAATACCTCTGCTCACACTGGGCTGCAGGATCAGCTGGTTCTGGGAATGTTACTCACAATTAATAAAGATAATTTCCTGAGTATCTACTCTGTTCCCAGGATCACAGAGTTCCAGAGGACTTATAAAACATGGTTCTTACTCCCACAGAGTTTACACAACGGTTATAAAATCAAAACACACAAACATGAAAGAACAAGAGAGGGTAAGAACCAGTGAAGAGCCCCTTTCAAGGCAGATAAGAGTTAAGGAAAGGGAAGGGTTATTTCAGGATAGGTTCAACCAGACACGATGTGGGAGGTTCAGAAGACCCGCCACTTGAGCTGAGTGTGCTGTTTAGAACGATTAAGTTTTGGGTTTTATGAAAAGGAAACACATGAGCTGATGGAGAATTTTCACAGCATTTTGAAGGCTGCCTAGAACATTTCCCACTTTAATCAAAGAATCTACTAAAAACATTTCCTTAACTAAGAAAATACAGAAACTATTCTGAGGGCCTGGATAGAAGTTATAACATGAAAAACTACTCATGGGGCAACTTTTGGAAAGGAAATATTACTTTCCTTAAAAGAGAGAAATATTAACTTCTCATCTCATCCCCTTATTTTAAAAAACAAGTGTTTTGGAGTTTGGCTCACCTATCCTTCTACAAGCTATCATAGAAAGACAACATCCCCCCACCCTCCCAAATAAAAATGCTCTTTTTCCTGGTATTTACAAACTATATTATGTGAAAATAGCAATACAGATAAAACACCTGGATTTTATTGAGGTGGGCCAATAAGAGACACAGGAGACCAACAAAGGCACAAAGCTCCATGCTTCAGATTGTACGAGGCTCATTTTCCTGATTTATAAAACTTATCATTTCCAGGAATATTACATAATCTTCATAATTCACAGAATAAAAGCAGCCCTGTCAGATTCTAGTGGATGTAAAAGTAGTAGCACTATCATTGCTATATTTTCAGTAATGTTTGTAGAATTTATATTTCCAACATTGAGAAATAGTTCAGAAAAAAACAAATCAAGCATAAACATCACAACAAAGAAAAGGAGAAAGCGGGATTCATAATATTAAAATGGTGTCGCATTACTAGCTGGAAAAAAAAATCCTGTCTCAAGGAGAATCAAAGGGGAGAGAAAACATTGAAAATAAAGTTAATGGTTCTAACATTCAAACTGAAACAAGAACCACTCTTCGCCTTAACAATGTTTTTCTCCCCTTTCAGATCATTTTGGTGACCTTTTATTAATCTCAAGGAAGATATTATATAACAGCCAAAACAAACTGCATTTTGAAAGTGGGAAACAAACTGCATTTTGAAAAAGAAAAATTATCTTATTCAAGGGTGGAATTCAAAATACTGAGAAGTTTGTACACTGGAGCAAAGAAAGCTTGGATATTCTTTTTTTATTATTATTGAATAAAGAGAGCACTTGACAAGAGTTGGTTATATTTTTAAAGGAAAAGAATTGCATTGCTTAGTTAAAAGTGCTTTGTACATAGAAAGTGCTCAGAAAAAAAAACTACTTAGTAAAAGAATTTATTCATTTGTTAATTGTGAAAATTTTAAATTAAAAAACAACAACCCTGATTCATCAGGTCAACCCAGCTATACAATGAGAACAGTGCCTTTTATTATTTTTTAAAATTTATCTTTATTGTTGAGAGTATTATGAATATCCTCCTTTTTCCCCACTAACACCCTCCACACCTCACCCATCCCCTCTGCAGGCCTTAACCACACTATAGTCTGTGTCCATGTGTTATGCATATATGCATATAAGTTCTTTGGTTAATCTCTCCCTAACCACCATCTACTCCTGCCTTCTCTCTGAGATTCATCAGTCTGAGAACAACTCTTTTTTAGATGAAATTATTTTCTTCTATCATTTCCAACTCCCCACCCCTAATTTCAACCAGGTCTAGCAGGCAATCATTTCAATCACTAAACAGGAACAATGCCTTATTTACAATGACTTGTTATTCTTTTTCCTCTACAAACACACACTTTTTTTAATAGTAGCAATGGGCCTAGATTATTTTGCATGTTCCACCACTTGGCAGGAACGTATAAAAAGCAGACAGAGAAATAGCTGTGATTAAAAAAAAACCAAAAGGCAGTACATATGTATTATTTTATAGTCTTTTTATAAAACTGAAACAATTCTGATGCAAATTTTTAATTTGTCTTAGAAGACACAATGAATATTCAATAGGCTTAGTCATGAAAAACACAGACTTGATATAGAAGGATATCAAGTGATATCTGATTCCAAGCAAGCTATGCTTTATTTTTTAAAAAAATATTTTTATTGATTTTTAGAGAGAGAGGAAGGAAGAAGGAGAGAAAAGAACATCAATGCATGGGAGTGTGAATGCCTTTTACATGCCCCCTACTGGGGATGGAGCCTGCAACCTGGGCATGTGCCCTGACCAAGAATCAAGCCAGCCACCTTTCAGT